TGACTGATTTTTCAAATTATCATTAAAAATTAACAATTAATAACCTTTTTTTAATAATATTTGATAAAAAATACCGTTAATTATCACTAAATCTATTAAATAATAAATTCACTTATTAAAATTTATACATAACTCTCTCTTTTAATATTTGAAATCAAATTATAAGATTAAAAGTGCATTAAAAACGAGAAAATAGATTAGGGACAAAGAACCTTTGAGGGCTGAGGCTATTATTCTCAGCAAGTTGTTTCACTGGTCCTTTCTTATTTATTTATCTATTTATTTATGGGAAAATTACTATGTAGTCCTATATAGGGGATCTATTTCCCTTCTAATCCCAATATATTTTTAATAAATTAATAGGTCCACAGTTTTTTAAGTTTTATACTCAGAGGTCCCATTTTTTATTTTCGTATTTTGTAAATGACTGTATTACCCTTTGTTTTGAGATCTATATATACGTGAAAAATCAATTTTTTGCTCCGTTCAAAAAAGAAAATCAAATCTTCGCCTCTGCGATCTCGATTTCTCTTCGTTATGGCGATCTCATTGTGCTGTGTGGTCGATCTCATTGTGCTGTGAGGTGGATGTGGTTGTGCGATCTGAATCTCTGTGTACAGGCGATCTCTGCGTACGTTCTCTCTCTCTCTCTCTCTCTCTCTGTGTATCTAGTTTGCATCTGTCAATACATATATGTACGTGTATGTATGTATTTGTCGATACATACATATACATATATATATCTCTGTGTGTGTATGTGATTTGTATCTGTCGATACATATATGTATGTATATATAGATAAGCAAATTTGCGTGATATCTGGTTTGTGTGTGGCAATGTTGTTTTAGTTCTTTGTTTTGTGATAAATTTTGTTTGTTTGATACTTATTTTATTTGATTTTTGTATGTGATATAGTGTAATGATTTTGATTTTGTTGATTTTGTTTGTTGTATAGTGTAATGTGTTTTGAAGTTGTAGTTTGGAATTGTGAATTTTGGTGTTTTGATACTGATATGTTGTAAGTGTATAATTTTGCAGTTTAGAATTGTGAATTGTGCACTGTTGGTACTGATATGTTGTAACTGTATAATTTTACAGTTTGGAATCTGTGAATAATTGTTTGTTGGTTTGTGATTTTGTAGTATGGAGAGGTGTTTCATGTTAATGTGTAAATACAGTAATTATTGTGCTGCTATTAAGATTAGTGAGGGATGTAGTTATGATGAAGTTGTTGAGAAAATATGTGCGAAGTTCAAGGAGTTGAGTGTTGGTAACTTTTGTTTGTTTTTTTCTATTCCTCGATATTCTAATTGTATTGTTGAATGTGATAATGATTTGTGGAATATGCTGTCAATGGTAGGTGGTAGTGGTTGTCATGTTGTTGATGCTATTGTGGATGATAAGAGAATTGTGGAGGTTGATGATGGTAATTCTTGTAGGATTGATTCTGTAATTGGTGAGAGTTCTTTGGTTAACGATTGTGATGATTTTGGTGGTTTGTTGCGTAGTTTTTATCCAGAACCAGAGAAAGTTTTGTTGTCTGCTAGTTGGAAGGGGATTATACGTAGTGTTGGTCAAGAATTTGAAGGTAGAGTGCCGGCGTTCCGCATTGCATTGGCTAAGTATGCAGTTGAGTGTGGTTTTGCAGTGAATTATTTGAAGAACGATGCAACAAGAGTAACTGCTGAATGTATGATGAAGTCGTTTACGGGTTGTAAATGGTTTGTGCATGGAAGGGTGTTGATGAATTCCAGTATTTTTTTTTATAATGAAGTTGGATAATGTGCATACTTGTGGGGTTGTTGCTCCTAGATCTTGTAGCAAAATGGTTGGTTCTAGACTTGTGTCTGATATTGTGCAAAATGATATTAGTGATAATCCGTTGACACGTCCTATTGAAGTTAAAAAAAGTTGAAGAAGCAATATGGTATAGATGTTTCTTATCAGGTTGCATGGTTAGGAGTTGATAAGGCAAGAAGTGGGTTGTTTGGTGCTTTTGCAACTTCTTTTGACCAACTTCGATGGTATCTTGAGACGGCTATGAGAACGAATCTGGGAAGTGTGTTTGAATTAGATGTGGATGAAAGTAGTGGGTGTTTTCGGAGGTTGTTTGTGGCATTTCATGGATGTTTGTATGCCTTTCAATTTTGTCGTTCGTTATTGTTTGTTGATGGTACATTCTCGAAGGGGCGTTACAAGGGGCATTTGCTTGCAGCAACATCAAATGATGATAATCAAGGTATGTATTTATTTGCAGTTAGTATAGGTTTGGTTTGTCAGTGTGTTATTGTATTGTGAGTCTGCTAATTTTTGCAGTTTCATGTTATTTTGTTTGCAGGTCTGTTTCCTTTGGCTTTTGCGATTGTTGACGCTGAAAATCAAGATAATTGGATGTGGTTCTTAAGTCAGTTGTTCAAGGGTGTTGGTTCAGACCGGAGATTGACCTTTGTGTTGGACCGTCAACATGGATTGCTAGACGCTCTTTCAGTGGTTTTTCCCAATGCACATCATGCATATTGCTTGAATCATTTGAAGAGAAATTTGATTAACAAATTGGCGGGACTTCGTAATAATTGTAAGCTAAGTTTGATGAAAATATTAGTTAAATGTGCTTATGTGCCAACGGTTGCTTCTTTCCAACATTATATGGAGAAATTGAGGCGTATTGCTGGGAACGGTAGAGTTGATAGTATGTTGGATGGTTTGCAAAATGATAAATGGGCGAATGCATTTTTTAGAGGGAAACGATATGGTGAGATATCATCTAATGCTGCCGAGTCTTACAATAATTGGATTGGTGGGGCCTGTGAGTTGCCTATTACTTGTATGGTTGGTATGATTAGGGTTCAAATCATGACTCAATTGTCGAATAGAAGAGCTGAATCTAAAAGATGGACTACGAAATTGTGTCCAGTTATGGAAAAGAAGTTGGTGGACTCTTTGGAGCTAGCTAAGTCTTGGGATGTGATTGTTGCTAGTGATACTGTGCTTGAAGTTCATTCTTCTATTTCTTTTTATGTTGATATTGGTAGACAAACTTGTTCTTGCCATGAATGACAATTGAATGGTTTTCCTTGTTGTCATGCTGTGTATGCTTTGCGTAGTAGTGGTAGAAATGTGTATGATATCATTGATCCTTTTTTTCATGTAGATTGTTTTAGAGAGTCATACAAGGAATCTGTTTATCCAGTGCCTTCAAGTGAGAGATTTGACTTTGATGGTGCCAGTAGTTCGATTATCAAACCTCCTATAACGAAAAAGCAGCCTGGGTGGAACAAGAAGAAGAGGATACCTTCTAGGGGTGAGAATGTGAAGCAAATCAAGTGTGGGAGATGCTTGAAATATGGAAATCCCAATAAGAAGACGTGCAAGGCTGCTATTTGAGGCTACAGTCTATTCTTTTGGATTTGTATTTGAATTTGAGGAATTATGATAATAAAAAATTTGATACTTGGTATTATGGAAGTAATGACTAAAGTTGGTTGAATTATTTTTTATTTTTTGATGTGTTCTTTAGTTATTGAAGTTATTTTGTAACAGTCTTGTTTTGTTTTTTTTTTCTTTTTTTTTTGTGTGTGGGTTTGGTTGGTTTTATTTTTATGGAATGCAGAGAAGGTTGTTGAAAATTTCTTATTGAAACTGTATAATATTGAAATGCAGTTTTACTACATGATTCATTTATTTCATATTTCATAGCGAGAAAACTGTAAAATTTTGTAGTTTTATTTTCAATTTTGAAATGTAGTTCATCCATTTGTTGAGTCATGAAATTGGATGCATAATTGTGTAGCATAAATTTTGTTTGAGTAATGAAACTGTATAATTTTGCAGTTTTAAGAATTATAAGAAACAACCTGACGAAACTGCATAATTTTGCAGTTTTAAGAATTATTAGAAACAACTTGATAAAACTACATAATTTTGCAGTTTGAAGAATTATTAGAAACAACCTTTACTGTATGAAAATATATGCAACCACAAACAAGTACACAAACAATCAGAAGTACAAGCACAATAATAATAATAAGGAGAAGAGCAACAACAACATCAATGACAGCAATCATTTTCACCATAATAACCAGAAGAAGATCATTCCCAAAAGTATATAAAGTACTTGTCACATGTTAAAAAAAAAATAAATACAAAGAGATGTTCACTTGAATATTTGTATTGTCAAGAAGTTTGTTCATTGTTTCTATGGTTAGGTATGTTTTGTCAACATTTGGTAGTGTTCGAGTTTCCAATATCGGTTCTCATCATTGAGGAATTGACTGACGATTTCTGCTCGAAATTTGACCCACTCAGTTGGTCGAAGTGATTTCTGCACAGGTTGCCAGTTGATATATTGGTTGATAATATTGCAGATGGCGATTGCACAATTATTCCTGCAAAGTTTTAGATGAAGTTAATTAATTAGGTAAAACTGTAAAATTTAGCATATTGAAAGATTAGTTTATTAATTTTGTATCTTACGAGTGTGGGGCTTGTTGTGGGCATTCCTCAATTGATGCAATTACTGTCTCGCACTCTTGAGATGATAACATGTTTCCTTGATTGCTGAGTAATGCTTTAATCCATCTCAATTGATGTTGTTGCTACAAAATAGTTAGTGGGTGTTTTTGTTAGTTATAGTGATGAGTTGAGATGTTTTTAAAGGAATGGAACTAAGTAGGAAATTTTATTTAACTTACAATTTCCTTTGCAATTTCAAAGTGCTTGTTGTGGCAATCTTTTGCTAGTCTCAAAGAGTCATAGTGTCTCCATATCCCATCAGCATTTTCAAAGACCACAATTGTCCAATGGTTGTCGTGGTTGATTGGGAAATGGATATATCTGTTTTTCATTGCTTCTGGAAAATGGCTGTCCATCATTTTTTCTCTTAGTGTTTGATCTTGGTTTTGTAGTGGAGTCTGTAAGTTATATATATGTTTGAAATATGTTATAAAACTATGTAGTAAGACATGTTAAGAAAGTAGAAAGTTTTGCAGTTGAAAGGTATGTTAAGTTTTGCTTACATTGATGAGTGTTGAGAAAACGTAAGATCTTCCCGCGTATGGATTTCTTGTAAAGGCTAGATCATTTTTCTCAAATTCTTCAATGGTTGGTTGGAGTGCCAATTGCTTTTCTGAGAAGGCATCAATGACCTGAAACATGTTATATATGAGAATGTGTTAGGTTTGTGGAATAGGTTATTGAATATGAACAGAAACTGTAAAATTGTGCAGTTGGAGACCTACATTCCCATATAAGGGTTCCCTGTTGGTCAATCTGCATATATCTGAAAAGTATACTCAATTTTCATCTTCGCTGCCAGACCAGACACAAGCACTTGATTGTGTGTTGTTGATGAGTTGAATTCGGTCTTGGTCTTTTTTGGATAGGCTATGCCAAACCTTGTTTGTTTTGCGGCATGAAATGGTGAGTGGCTTGTTTTGGATTGATTCTTCCTTGAAATCATCATCACTTTCCAATACTTGAAGTTGTGTCTTCTCTTGATTGGCATGCTCTTTTGGGTTGGTTTCAGCAGCAACTGTTTTCTCTTGGCCAATATATTCTTGCATCTTTTCTTTCTGCTGTTGTTTTGCTTCATGAGCACCCTCTTTTTGCTCGAGTTCAGTAGCAGGTTCTGTTTCTGTTTCGATTTCTTCTTTTTTCTTTTCATTCTTCTTCTCTTTTTCTTCATCGGTACCCTCTGTTGGTTTGGGTACATCAGCAGCAGTTTGTGTCTTGTTCCTTGTATCTTCTTTGGCTTTTGTCATTGGTTGGTATTTAAAATCTGGGTCATGTGCTTGTTTTCTTGACTTTTGTTTGATTCTCTTGACCATTGATCTTTGTTGGGGATTGCCAGTTTTTTTGGTGGACATTTCTTTCAATTGATCTTCTTTTTTACGCAATTCAGCCATGAATTTTTGTTCCATATCTTGCATTTGTGCTCTCATGGCTGATATGAGCTTGTCCTTGTCGTCCACTTTGGTTGGTGTTTGTGGTTGGTCATGACCTATAAAAATGTTGGATTGTGTTTTGGTTAGTTTAATTAAATTTTGCAGTTTGCTTTAGTATTAGACAATAGTTTACCTTGTGCATGAAATATGTCAAATTTCTCTTGGAGTTCTTCTTGTTGGTTTGTCAATTCTTGTTCATTGACTTCTTGTTGTTGGTTTGTTTGTTGTTCTTCTTGCTCTTGTTGTTGGTCTTCTTCTTCATCAGTGTCTTCTGGTTGATCACCTTTTGCTTCTTGTCTTTCTTCTGCTTCATCATTGTCCTGTTGTTCATCAGGTTCTTCTTCTTCTTCTTCTTCAGTTTCTTCTTCATCAGTTACTTGTTTTTTTTTCTTCATCACTCTCTTCTTCTTGTTTATCACTTTCTGGTTCTTCTTGTGGTTTTTGCTTTCTTTTTTTCTTTTTTTTGTTGTTCTTCTTGTTCTGATTCTGATTCTGATTCTGATTCTGATTGATGTTCTTCTTCGAGAAAATCATCCTCATCACTGTCTAGAAGTCTTTTTTTTTGTTGCTTTTGTTTTCTTTTTTCGCTTATTGTCCTTTTTGTGATCATGTTTCTTTGCTGAAGAGTCTGTTGATGTGTTTTGATTGATATGCAATAACTGTATTTCTTGTTCAGTTGGGGTTAAAGCACTTTGGTTAACCTGCATTGGAACAATGTGGCATATATCAGTAATACTGTAAAATTGGTCAGTTTCATAAGATGAGTTGTACTGTGAGTAATGTGGGTTAAGTGTCGAAATATGTTGCTTGAAACTGAAAATTTTTACAGTTTCATAATATGAGTGATGTGAAGTAGATTTGTGCGTTGAAACTGTAAACTTTTACAATTTCATAACATGAGTGATGTTAAATAAGTTTGTGCTTTGAAACTGCAAACTTTTAGGTGCTGTTTGGTAACACTTACGTTTTTAGTTTTCTGTTTATATTTACAAAAATTTAAAAAACTTAAATAAAAACTTGTTTGGTAAAATTTTTGATTTATAAATCAGTGGTCTCAGTTTATAAATTTGGCCAAAAAATGAAAACACAAAAAATGTGTTTCCGTTTTGAGTTTTAAGGTGTCGTTTGGTAACACTTACGTTTTTAGTTTTCTGTTTATATTTACAAAAATTTAAAAAACTCAAATAAAAACTTGTTTGGTAAAATTTTTGATTTATAAATCAGTGGTCTCAGTTTATAAATTTGGCCAAAAAATGAAAACACAAAAAATGGGTTTCCGTTTTGAGTTTTGAGTTTTTTTTTTTTTACCCCCCAACATTAGCCACCACCCGCCACCATTTTCCACCACCGTCTTCCGCCACCACCACCATCTTCCGCCACCCACCCTCCACCACCACTTCCACCACCATCTTCCACCGCAACCTGCCACCACTTTCCACCATCGTCTTTCGCCGCCACCACCCACCACCTGCCACCACTTTCGACCACCGTCTTCCGCTGCCACCACCATCTTCCGCCACTACTTTCCACTACCACCTGCCACCACTTTCCACCACCATCTTTCGCCGCCACCACCCGTCACTTGTCACCACTTTTTACCACCGTTTTCCGCCGCCACCACTCGCCACCACCCGCTACCACTTTCCACCACTGTCTCTTCTCACCCTCTTCCGCCGCCACCACCATCTTCCGCCACTACCATCCGCCATCACTTTCCACCACCATCTTCCGCTGCCACCACCTGCCACCACTTTCCACCACCATCTT